GGATACTTTTATTGTTGAAATGATATATAATTATTTTGATAAGAATAGGGATCTAACTGAGAAAGAGTGAAAGAAAATATGTGATCCTTCAATGATTTTTGTGATCAAAATAATACTTTTGATTTTAAAAAAGAGATTTTTGGACTTACCTGACTGAGTTATTCTTGAGAAGATTAGCGCACGAAAAATAAATTTAAGCAGAGAATCGAGAAAATAAAAAAAACGGATCCCTACATGTATTATAGAATATTTAATTAAGACTCTTTTTTATAAACTTATATGCTTGGGAATAAATAGAATGATATGTATCGATTGAATAAGGAACACTAGGAATTACTGAATAGTTGTGAGTGTTGCTCTTCGTCTTATTGTAACAACGAAACAAAGAAACAAAGAAGTTCGATGCTACTAGTTAGCGCTATCACCAACAATATAGGAGAAATGGATAACTTCGTGAAAAGCTTTCGTTTTATTCAAGTTAAAATGCGTTGTTACTAAAACAAAAAATAGCAGTAAACGAGTTTAAACGATAACTCTTTAGTTGATCCTGCTTGATATATTAAAATACATTAAAACGCATCAAATCATTACAGTTTGCCTTATGCAATGCATTAAAATCTGTTTATACAAGAATAAACCCGTTTTAACGGGTTCAACGTTTTGATTCATCATATCAATGAGTTATAATGCGTTTTTTTTCATTTTTCTGTCTAAACGCGTTGAAACACCGTTTTTCTCGTTTCCTTGTCTGCCTGGGTACGTTAAAACACATTATTTGCCCTCTCATGATCTTTTAACCCGTTAAGATGCGTCACTTGCTCCAACATGGTCTTTCAACCGGTTAAAATGCATCAACAAAAAGTTAAACGCGTTGAAACGCGGTTATTTCTTCATGTGTTCAGTCAACGCATTATAAAGGGTTGTTTTCTTCTATTCTACCCTTCAACACGTCAAAACGCCGTTTTGACGTTTATCTGTCTCCGTGGGTAGCCAATGAAAACAACCGTTGGTTATCATTATTAAAACTTCTGAAAAAAAAATGTTTATCATTCTTTCTATACAAAGTACGCTTTTATATAGATCGTCTGTCGGATGATAACAAAATGCAAAAAAGAACATGACGAATAAAAAATGAAACCAATGTTCTTACACACAGTCACTGAAAGGTGTTTATCCACAAAACCATTGCTTTTCTTTTTAGTATTGGAAACAAATGGTATCTTCGAATTGCTTCTTTTCGATTGTAAAAAAAGTGGCTGTACTTATTGTGCTTCTGGCCATAATTATTCCCATCTATTATAATTCAACAAATCCTGAACATCTTGGATTTCGTTTTCTTCACTCATTATTATCAATTAAGCATGCACTTGTGCATGATGTAGATCGGCCAATGTTAAGTGCTGAGTATCGAGCTTTCGAAAGTATACTTCAAAGAAGACCTATTTTTCAAATTGATCCAGATCTTGATTCCTTTGAACTAGCAAAACAGATACGTGCATCATTTTCACTTGATACTTTTGTTCCTCGTTCTTCTACATGTCAGGTAGACAAACATTTATATGAATATGAGGGACATGCAGTCGATGCACATTGGATTCATCACAACAGAACTAAGCCGAAATTGGATGCTGATCGAATCATACTTTATTTTCATGGTGGAGGTTACATAGCAGGAGATATACAAGGTAAGAATGCATGTTTTAGCTATAAGATAACTAGAGAAAAAAAACGAATGTTGATCGAAATTTTTTTTGAAATTGAGATCGAAAAAAACGTAAGTAACTTTGTCTGTAAAACATCCAAAATGTTACTACAAAACGCAATATTTATTATATTGTTCCTATCAGTACTGCGTGTGATTGAGACTATTGGTACTAATGAAAGTGCACGCATTCTAACAGAACCCTAGATCGAATTCAGAATGCTTTTCGGTCTAAACAAAGACTGGTGTCGGATTCATCGATAGAATTTATTCAACATACTTTATAGTTCTTCTGAAAAATTGAAGCCAAGAAAAAATGTTTCGAACTTGTTGTTTTAGAAAAAAAACTCTTGTGTTCTTTTATAGCTTACAGCGGTTTCGAATGTCATTTATCTCGACTTTTTAATGCCACTGTTATTCATTTGGAGTATCGTCTCGCTCCTGAGCATCCACTGCCAGCAGCGGTTGATGATGCACTCACATTATATACTGCACTTCTTCTTGATGATATTCCTGCTTCACATCTGGTCATTATGGGAGATTCAGCTGGGGGTGGTCTCACTCTATTGACGATTCAAGCTATTCTTGCTCGTCAACTACCAATACCTCGTGCCGCTATTACACTTTCTCCATGGACAGATTTCTCGGCGTCTAGTGAAAGCCATATCCGAAACCGGTTTACTGACTTAATGATTCGAGCCGAAAGTATTGCATGGAGTATACAACACGTATTGGGCCCGAATCATGAACAAATAGCTCGAGATGACCCATCACATAGTCCACTCTATGGTTCATTCAAAGGATTTCCACCACTTTATATCACAGTTGGTACAGCAGAGCTCTTGGAGGATGATTCTAGACGCGTAACTGGTAAAGCGCGTACCGAAGGAGTTGATGTAACATTAGAAGCTGGCCAAAATTTAATGCATGTTCATCCTCTTTTCTTTTCCTTTTTTCCTGAAGCAAGAGATACACTGGACAATATTCGACGATGGCTCGAATCGAAATTCCCATGATCCGTGAGCTGTCGTTATGAACACTTTATTTTACCAGTCACTAATTACTTCCTTGATCACTCCAGTACCGTAATCATTGAAAGATCGACTACTTATCCTTTATAATAAAATTTAGACCATTTCTTGACAAATAAATATCTTAAATTAACTACTTCCATAAAATCATGAAAAGGAAAATAATGATATTTTCCGATTGTTTTCTATCTCGCCGCGATTTTTCAGATGTATCTCGTATTATCAGCATATACTTTTGTGGTTGATCAGTGCGCATCGATCAAGTTTGTGTCTAGGCAATTATTAAATAGTTTGATAGAAATTTCCTCAACTCGTTGGAATTTCACTGATCTAATAAACAAACAGAACGAGTAAGTCGTACTGTGCATGTTGATCCACCTCTCGAATTGTCCGAAATAATGACGTCATGAAATTATGTACTATGGCGGACGTTGGTTTATTCTATAACTCCGTGAACTCTAGTAATTTTTTTTCTTATGATGATGGTCGACAAATTCAATTCAATAATGCAATGATCACATTTTTCTTTCTTCATTTGAACAGGAAGAAAGAGAAAAAAAAATGCTTTTTTGATCGGAAAAATACAATTCTGATAATGCAAGTGTGGATGCCAAAAAGTTTGACTTCACAGGACTCTATTGAATAGAAATGTTGGTGCAGGCGTAGGTATGAATGAAAAGAAGACAAGAACCCACATCCACACTCCTTCGCATGTTTCTTAGCAAATATACCAAGCATAAATGTCGTAGGTCTCGTTTCAGTTCATCTTGAAAGTTCAGAATGAATATTAATCAAAAAGAAACTTATACGATAAGAATTCATTTGATGTCCATCAGATCAAAAGTTATCCTAGATATTTTTTATATCAGATTGATGTTTCTGGTCGTCGAGCATCTCTAGAATAATACTAGTCGGAAATAAGGCACCTAGCTCGTATAAATCAATCGTTTTTCTGCAAATATAACTGAATTTGACAATCTTTTCCAAAAAAGAAAACGAGTGAAATTTTTTTTCTTGAATTTTGCATCACTTTTCCATATGCATGTCTCCGTTACACATTGTAATTAACAGTCACTTATTGTTGTCAAGCCCTGTGTTTCACGAAAATGATTTACTGTTTCCATTCTTTTTTAGATTTTGCATCAGAAAGACCGATGTGACTTGAAATAAACGAGTACCCGCTTTTTTTTTACTATTGTAAATATGCTTTTATCACTTTCATTGCTGTTATTATAAAATAAGTTTAAAAGTTAAAACATTTTCAGTTCTATTTCCTCGATTTCAGTTTGATAAAACTAGAACAATCAAAACGTTTACAACATTTTTAAAATTAGTTCACACTTTCTAAAACTCTAATAAGACAAATGCATGTCTCATTGATCAGGTGTGTAAAGAAGCTATTTGGACACATCAAGTCGAGTTTTATATGAATAGTTTTAAAAATGTGATAATAAGCAAGCAATTCTGATATTTGCTTCATTTATTCACAAATCATACTACAAAAGGTGCGATCTTTTTCTTTCTTATTTGCTTTACGTTTACACGTAACAAAGGACATTTTTTCCACGTTGTTTTTCGAGGTCTATATCTACAATTGATTCTCTCTTTTTTTTTGTTCATTAAAGTAAAGCGTTTGCATTGAAATCTTCATGTCTCGCATCTACTTGTTGCAGTCTTGTTTCACGAACGAGAACAAAAGACAAAGAAAATAAAAAAATGTATCGCATAGAATTTATCAAAATTCTGTATTCCTATAACGAAACGTTAAAAAAAACTAATATATCAACATGAATTTATTGGTCTATTTTCTTATATGTCTGGTTCACCGTAAGAAATTATTCATTTACTTCAGCTATTTGGGTGGTAGTCTTGTCTTCGTCGTGCTCAGTTTGAATATAGGTATTTTCGATTGAAACTATTTGAATTGGTTTGATGATTATTTTCTTTTTTTATTCTCTGCAATTGAACAGCCAACAGATTGCGCCAAATTTCAACTACGCCTCGAAAAGTTTTGATAATATCTGTTATCACGCAAATGTTGAATTCATCGACGTTCACTTATCCACTTCTTTATCATCAACGTGCTAAAATGCTTGCAGACAAGTGCAATGATACAAGCTTTCATCCTTCGAATCTTCAATATCTTATTCATCATAATGACATGCTCGACTATTTGGGCTTTGTTCTTCGCTCTCATTCTCTATTCTATTGCTCCGTACCAAAAGTGGCGACGCGAACTTTTCTCACTTTCATTACCTATCTTCATATACGTGATGATATCACTACTCTATACTTGTCCAATTTAACTAATGAACAACAGAATGCACGAAGAGTCAAAGATTCAGCTCTATTCAATGCTGACTATTTGAGTCAAATACTGGCGCTTTCAACTACGGTGAGACACAATCAATGAGTTTTTTTTTCTCTCTCGCTATTGTAGCGCCACGACGAAAGTAATGTATAAAGTAAAATTGCGCAAGCATAAACAACAAAAACCAACGAGCTAGTGGAATGAAAAAGCGGTACGATTAATGCAAGTATAAGCTGTATCATTCGTATGCTATTCACCAAAAGGAGACATCTTTCAAGAATGTTGTGAAGAAGTGATTATCAGAAACAATAAAACTTTTACTATGCTTATATTACTATTGCTATCCATTTCCCATCTTAAAAATAAGTTCAATAGCCACTATAATCTCTTGTGACAAATCATTTTAAAATAGTAAAATTTAGTATTATTCGCTATTCAGTAGTCTATGATAGTCATGTAGCACAAGGATTTGTAATAGCTGTCTATTGTATCACGAAGAGCATGATTGCATAGGAGCCACCATATTATATAGAAATGATAAAATTAACATTGACGAACATTCCAATTTGCATGCTCTAAAAATATTATGTGCGTGTCTTAAAAAGATTTAATATTCAAGAACGTGAACCGTAGAAAAGTTAATAAACTACATTCGAGTGTAGAAGTAATGATAAAAATTTTGTAATGAAAGTTTTGAAAAGCAATATTCAGTTCATAAAAAAATGAATATGATCAGGCCAAGTGACGAGAAAAAAATTGAATTTAAGATCTTGACATTAAGGATCAAGCCACATTCTTCATAGAAATAATTTAATTTAGTGTGATTTTGTAGTCAACCAAAAAGAATGATTTTGAGTTACCTAACATTCAGTCGACTACATTACTTTTGCCAACACCTCGATTACGTTGTCATATTGAAAATTCTCAAACGATTGCGTCAAGCTTGTGATACAAATTGATTTGAGTGATATTGTAAGTTGTTATTAAGTATACAACAGACTGATTTTTCTTAGCCTAGTTTCAGCATAGTGAAACATTCATAATATGGTTTGAAATCAGAAACTTAGATACATCTTGATTTCAAAACTAGTCACATATTCAATCATTCTTACCTTAGACATTAAAATTTGATACTTGAACAGAAATCATTTCATTGTGCTTAATTTGTTATGAATGAAGTATGTTATTTCCAAATATGTCCCTTATTCGTATATGCAACAAAGAGAACAAGGAGTACCAAGTAAAATTTGATTTCAACAATCAGATCGTATGTATTGTTGAATTTTTTTTGGCGATGGATTCATTGAAAAAATGTTCTGGTCATGAAAGGTGAAAATAGAGTGCGAACATTATGTGAGATAAGAGGAGCGGATGAGTCTAGCCAAACCTTACTCAGCAGAGAATCTGTGACTGTTTAATCTAATCGAGCTTTTGAAGACTGTACTTTTTAGAATGGTTCTCAATTACATATGGCTGATCATCTTTCCATTCTCTCCTTGCTTCAATCATGTTTGCGTAATACATCCGGCATCTTTCCAGTGGATCTGTGGAAAATACACCAAGACAAAGTCTTTCCTTTAATTCGTCTTCGTTCTCTTCCTGATAGTTCTCTTCTCTTATCAGATAATTTTACTCGTGTTATCTTTGTTCGTCACCCATTAGAACGTCTGGCATCGGCTTACATTGACAAAATTGCGTCTCTTCAAGCTTCACCTTTTTCACTCTATGATAATATTCGTCGGACGATTTGTCGAAAATTTGCTTCATTCTATTTGAAATCGAACGAAACAGCTTTTTATCATTGGAGGCGAATAATACCAAAGATGATCGATGAACCATGTGGAAAAGTCGTGCCTTCCTTTCAACATTTTCTCGAGCACATCATCTCTGATTCAGTTTCGATGGATGTTCATTGGCAACCTTATTCATCGTTATGTCAGGTATGTGCACTCAAATATAATTTTATTGGCAAGTACGAAACTATGCAAACTGATCTCAACACTCTTATGTCACGTATCAATTTAACATCGAATGATTTGCAGTTTGATCGTCGTTTTTCCACCGGCCGAACCAAAAAACAATATCAATTGATGTATAGCAACTTGTCTGATCGACTTATGTGCCGTTTGAAATATATTTATCACAATGATTTTAAATTATTCGACTATCGATTAGAAGACTATTTGAGTAGAAATCAAACACTTTCTTGTTCTTTTTTTGTTCCAGGAAAATCATTTCGCTAAAGTGTAAAAATGAGTGTAGGTTTGACATTCACATTCACACCTTCTTTTTTAAAACTTGAATTTTTTGAAAAAAAGCAAAGCGAGTTCTTTTGTCATACGAAAATATACGGAAACCTTCTTTTTTTAAATACATATGGTGTTTCTTTTTTTACAAAATATCCTGGTATTAATTGCCTTATTTGAGAAGATTTAGGTCTACTACTGAGTTTGCGAGTAAATTTTGCAGTTTTTTTTTTGTAAATTTTCAGTTCTCAGAAGGATTTTTATGTTCCCATTAGTATCAGTATAGAATCAAACGCTTTAGTATTGATTTTAAGGCACGTAGTAACAAGAGAGATAAAAATCATCTTTTCATGTATTGATAGTAGACATATCGCTTATTCATTTCTTAAAAAAAAAACAATTAACGTTCCACTCATACAATTCATAAA